CGGATTATTCTGAGGAAGTACTGGAGCGGCGTCCTTCGGTGGATCGGCCTTGGTATTCTTGGGCTTCGCTTTAGGGTCCTTCTTCTCCGCTGGTGTAGCCTTCATGAGGTTCCCAAAAGCTTTTTCCCTTTCTTTCTTATTTGTGGTCTCGATTGATTTCCGTATCCACTTCGCCATAATCTCCCGCAACTTCTGATAGGTCTTATCCGGATCCTTATCCAACATGTTGTCGTACACGGACAAGTCTAACGCCATAACTTTGGAATCTTTAATCTTGTCCCAAAGCAGGTTGCGGAGTGCTTTGTCAGGAAGCATGTCATCCGCGTCCATACCTGATATGATCTCATCCCACTGTCCAAGGAATCTGGATAGTTGATTATCTCCAGGGAACTTTAGATCGAATAAGTGTTTAGATGCATACATCACATCGACGTTGTCGGCACTCCGGAAGCTATCGACGATCAACGCTAACATTTCTCGTCCCTTAACCATTCCCGGGGTTGTGCCTCTCGCACGTCTCCGCATCATCTGCCTCACCTTCAGTTGTACGTCATGAGATCTCTCACCTGCTGCGTGGATAATCGCGTGTAGGGTGATGCCTAGCTTAGCATCTATGCTAGCGAATCTTGCTTCGCCCGATGTCTCGAGCAGAAATGGATCATATGGTGATTTGAAGGCATCCGAGAGCCACTGGATCCAATCTTCTTGTCTTTCGTCGCCCGATGCCGTCACGACTGCCGCTACAACTTGGGATTTCCAAACCTCCAAGTCGTGTATCTTGGGCCATGCAGGGATGTTGATCTTCTCATGTTCCTTCCGAGATATCTTGGAGCCACCCGAGCTAGAGGATGAAGCGGCACCATACTCGGTTGCGGCTGCATTCTCAGCGTTCGAGCGCTCCTCTTCGTATCTCCTCCGGTACTTATTCCTCTCATCTCTGAGCCGTGCTGCATGCGCTTCGAATTCCATCATGTCCTGCTGGTTCTGCATCATACCTTCGTAATATTCCATCGCCTCTTTCTCCTCGGACCTTAATGACTTTTCGGTACGTCCAAGTTCCGCTCTAAGCTTGGTCATCATCTCGTTCTCCACATTGCATCCTGATCCCATGTCTTGTGGTTTCAACTCCAGTGCGACCTTCAGTTGTGCTTCACTTGCACTTGATTCGATCAATTCTTCCTGGAGACGTTTCAACATCCTCTCTTTACGTAGGATGTCCTCCTCCAACATGTTCATCTTGACCTCGGCTTTCTTGAGTTCGGCGTTGGATGTTTGAGACGGTCGACCGGATCCTTGAATCCTCGCCTGTGCCACCTCTTCATTCGCCCTCTTCAATTGCTCTCTGATGGTCATGATGAAATTGTCCTGGTTATAAGATCGGTTGTTGAGCTCCTCATTCTCTTCTGATAACCATTTGATCTTGCTTGTATACATTGCTTCCTTCATCTTCATCTCCTCGGCATATTCGTGTTTGTTCCTGACACTCTGCCTTTGTAGTCCAACTATCTCCTGCCTATACAGATCCCTAATGTTCTCAGCATCTGCGACTGCAGTCATGAGTTCGGTTACGGCTCGATCTCTTTCCGCCGATATAGCCTGGATCTCTTCCGTGCCGATGTTCACAACTTGACTAACCATCTCTGCGCTGTTGCGATCAGCGTACTCTCCTAACTGGGTGAGACGATCCCGCATTGCCACACGATCAGTGTCAATCTGGTATTGCAAATCGTGTGCTGCTGAGAGCAAACAGTCTCTAGATTCTGTAAGTTGGGAGATTCTTCGTTGATTTCCATATCCTTCGACATAACATTCTTCGAGGTGTGTCATCACTACTTCGTGGACTTCGGTCTCGTGTTGTATAATCTGGTTCTGTCTCTGCTCACATTCGACCATCCATGCGTTTTGGTGGTTCAACATATGCACTTCGGCAAGTAGTTGTGCACACTTCGCATTGAGGTCTCCATCGGCCCGTGCTAGTCGTAGGTTGTCGGTGCTTGCCCTTGCTCCATCTCCAGCTTCGCTGTCCGATGGCACTGGTACAGTTGACCCATCCTCCAATGCTAGCACTCTCACAGCTCCGGTGTCAGTTCTCCTCCTTGTCTCCCTAGGGCTACGGCCCGATCTCGGTGTCCCCCCCGGTGGTGTCGAGTGCGCTGACGGGGAACGACTTCGTGCTCTACCTGTCGCAACTTCTCTCACCACTGTCAGAGTCTCCGCTTCGATCGTACCTGGACTAGAGTTATGGGATGCACTCACCCGATCTGCTGCCGCAGCGGCTGCTCCAAAGGATGCAGTGCTGGCGTCGGATTGGTCCATCTTCAGTGACTGAGGGTAACTGATCTATCCGATGCGTGTGCGTTTAGATGGTGTTGTGTAAGGCCGTAGCTCGTACCCAGCTCAAAGGAGTCTGGATACGGCTGATAACCTGCGAACGGATGGAAAGCGTGCCCTGGCCCCGTTCAAGCCCTTAGTTCGACATGAAGCTCGCGCGCAATAGCTCCTTTTCGCCTGGTTGGGCACTTGAGCCAAATGTTTATGGCAAGTGTCCATGTTGCAATTGTACTGGGACCTCATCTCTATTCACAGTAAATATCGCGAATATTCTTATCATATTACCACTAGCAGGACTTTTAATACAAATCCACTGTCACAAGCTCGTATCACCTCGGCACTGTTCTCGCAGCATCTCGGCAGCTTTCGCCACCGACGTGTCCGAGGCCACATCCAGGGGAAGGAACTGCAGGCGATCTTGGCCTCGCTCGGAACCCCAAGGCACTCGAATCTTCCAACCAAAAGCTACGAACGGAGCAAGACAGGCATCGCTACTAGGAGCGATCGGACGCTACTAGGGGCTCCTGGCATTGCTACTAGGAGCGATCGGACGCCGCGAACGTAGCCTCCTGGCCGTAATGCGTATTCTACTAGGAACAAGAAGTTACTAGGAACAAGGGCATTGCTACTAGTAACAAGGACGCTACATGAAGCCGGTCGTCAGAGCTGGTGAGAACGCGCTCCGTGGTCTCCCACACGTGTGGAAAGAAGGAGTTGTCTGGGGAATCGTATGGGCGTCTTCCAAACGAAACATCTCCAAACATGTCTATGGGCATATCTGAGATCACCCCAGACCTCACCCTACTGATGCCCACCATCCAACATGTGCATGTAGACGCATGTCGGCTCGCAAGCCCGGAATCCTCCTACTGCCAGTGGATCAGCATCCCATTTCAATACTTATAATCATAGACCCCTGGAACTACCCTTGGAATATCAGGTTCGGTTTGTTGGCAAGAATGCTTGAAGGATGTCTGCCTCCCAAATGCCCTGAGCCAAAGCACACTCAGGGCTTTTCAGCAAAATGCTCTCCACTGCCTCCTTTCCCCTCTGCGCATCTCGACTTCCCAGGAAAACGTAAAATCCATGGTCTGCCGCCAGCTGTTGGCAAAGTGCACGGCCAATGCCCTTATTGCCACCTGTGACCTTGGATATGGCTGTTTGGACACCTAGCAACCACCCCAAAACACTTGGGAAACGTCGGAATTGTGGATTTGACACCAGGAAGATGAAACCTTTTACATAACGTCACAGGTTTTGTGCAGCTGACCAAAACTCGTCTCAGTGCCATTGCCGGGGAATGTTCCCACCAGCTGGCGGCAAGCAAGCAGCACAGGCCAAGGGTCAGCAATTTCCGCATTCTTTAAAATAAAAAATGAAAGACATCAAGCGTTTTCTGGCCTTGTGCAACCTACAGGTCCTATAGCACATGATAGTACATGATAGAAATCATATGTGTAGGAAAAAGTCGTGGAGAGTCTATGGAGGCCATGGTTGTTTGTTAGTGCCTTTTCTACTTGGCCATCTTCCCCTGGAGCCAATCACCAGCGGTGGAGCCAAGCACCAGCATTGCCATCAAAATTCTCTGCACATGGAAATGCAATTGCATGCCAAGCACTACTCCCCTGCAGAGGAGTAGCCTTGGAACCCCAAAACCACTGGATTGTAGAGGAAAAATGGATGGATATGTTGTCCGGGAATGTTTTTTTCAGGTAATTTTCCGGATTTTTTTTCACGTTTTTTACCCTACTGTTTTTGCTTTTGCTTCTGCTGGGAGTGCTTTACAAGCACTAGGAGCAGCAGAAAGGGCAGGGGACGAAGCAGTGACAAAGGGAGGGAACAGAAAAGGTATTCCACTTACTAGGGACTTCTTTGCCGTTGTCTTTAGCTTCACTGGTTTCGGGTTTCTTTGGGCTCGGTTTCTTGTCTTTAGGGTTTCTTTAGGCGTTCGTCCGGAAAAGGCATCCCACTTGACGAAGGAGAAGCAGGAGTGAGGAAAGAGGAGAGAGGAACTATAATAGGGACTTCTCTGCGGTTGTCTTTGGGTTTCAGTGGTTTCGGGTTTCCTTGGGCTAAGCAAAGTAGAAATCTACCTTTGTGGCAGTGTCAACGCAAAGAAAATAGTAGTTGTGGTAACTGTGGTAAGACTCGTAGCGGGGTGGCCGAGTGATAGAGGTATTGGAAATAGTAGGGGTGGTGGACGGTAGTGGGAACTATAAAAGAAAGTGGGAGGGGGTGCGGCGGAGGGCGCAGCGCCTCCCCCGCAATGCAAATCAAATATAGATAGCGCTGGGCTGCTTCGTTTCTTGATTGGTGTAATTGGGTGTCAAAGCTCAAGGTGAAGGTCTTATCATCCAACTTTGTGGCAGTGTCACTGCAAAGAAGATAGTCAGCAGAAGCAAACGCAGAAGCAAAAGCAAAGGCAGAAGCAAACAGCAAAAGGAAAATTAAAGCAAAAGCAAAAAGCAAAAGCAAATGCAGAAGCAAAAGCCAAAAGCAAAAGCAGAAGCAAAAGCAGAAGCAGAAGCAAAAAACAAAAAACAAAAGCAAAAGCAGTAGGGGAAAAAACGCGAAACAACAATCCGGAAAAAACACCTGAAAAAGTCACATAAAAATAGGGGTTCCAGGAAAAATGACCTTCCACCGGTCAATTCTCAGGGGCTTGGCGCCTCGTCATCTACCTCGAAGAGGAATTGAGGCCGGTCATCCTGCGACCGAGGGCCGAACGAAAGCATCCAGCTGAGCTGAAGTCGAAGACAACACGAACAAGACGGACATCCAAATGACATTTCAACAGCAAACTGCCACAACGTCACAACCAACTCAGAAGAGTCCTTACTCTCGGAATTTGTTTTCTCCTACCACTGGTCGTAACATCCTATAGACCGACATATCTGTTTGCACAAATGGTCCCCTTCGAACAAAATCAATGACCATCTCTTGGTGAAAAAGGTCAACATACCCAGCGCATCTAAGACACGTTGTCTGTACCGGGTTGATTTCCATGGCTATAGACCCTACAAGACCCTCCAACAGAATAGTGAGCATTATATTCAGATATATTCAGAGACTGGGATTAAGATAATGCTGGCAACTTCTCGCAACATACTGAATAGATCTGAATATATAGATTGAATATATAATATACATATATAGATTCGAACTCATGAACGGGCCCGTCCAAAAAGGCTAAGAACATCGGTTGTCGGTTTGATGCTGGCAGCTTGGTCGTTCGGAGAGATTGACCAAACATGGGGCCCGAACATGGTTTCCAGGTACCTACCATGAAATCATGGAAGTAGAACATGGATGATGTGGCACATGGAATCGCTTGGATGCTCATGCATTACAAACAGGTGGTGGTCCACTTCCATGATAGCGACTCGGAGTGCAGTGCATTTCATCCAACATGAGATCAGTAATTGCAAGCTCTTTCCCTTGCCAAATCATTTGGTAGATTTGCCTTTTTCGTGACTTGGGAGACCCGCAAGTTGATCAGATTGGCGGGACATGTGTTGTGGCAAAACTTATCTTGATGGACAACATCTTGAAGAAGCCTTTCTGCGCAAACCATTAGCACATCATCTCATCATCTGCACAAAAGTGCAATGTCGCCGCAGCGAACCAGCGCTTTAAGATGTTTTAAGATACCGCCTGTTGAAAAAGCTTGAAATCCTTCAGAGATTTGCAACATGTTGACAGGCAGAAACCTGAGGCCCTATAATTTGATCCATTCCTAGGCATTTCCTTTTTGTTTTTGCAGGAGGCGTTGCTTTGCTCAGTTGAGGCGAAGGCGGCTTTGGTCAGCAACAAAGCGAGTGGGAAAAGCCGTGGTTCAAAAGCATTTGGTACACTCCCTGAAACCATCGTGGCTAGATGATGCTACATGGATGGCTTGATATGGCATGGCCATGAAAGATCGGATCACAATGATTCCAAAAAAACAAAGACCAGTGGTTTTTACTCACTCCACTTCCACCGTGGGTTCTTTCAGGGAAGAATTTCACGTGGTTTTCTCTTCGATCAAATGGACCATGAACGAACTCATCGAGAAAAGGGTTTTTGGTAAAGCATGGCCTCTAGAAAGACGCTCTTCATGTTTTTTTTGGAGCCATGGTCCACTTCATCCAGAATCCATGTTTGTTGGATGGAGGGGTATGAACCTTCTCTACGAAAATATTTCTCTTGCATGTTCAACTTTATCTGACTTTCCCAGTGGGATAGTCAAAGCATGGTTGAGATCGAACAAACAACCTTAAAACAACAAACGGATTGTACGACTTTGATTTCTTTCCTTTTTATAGCTCCTTAATCAATTATTGTTACTGTTGTTTCTCTGGGTAACAAAAAACAACTAAGCTCAAAAAACAATTTTTTCACACATGCAGGCTGGATCATTTGCATGCAAATATCATGATGAAGTCAGCCTTATCCCCGGCACCAGCTGTGACCACTAGGATCTACATACTGAGCTACATATTTATGTTATCTATGTTATCTATCTTATCCATCTATAACTATCAAATCAAGTATATTAGAAGTGGCCTGACAAAGCCTGATGTTGATCCACATAACTATGCCAACCCTCTATCAACAGCACGTCCTCGTGTCCAAAAGAGAATCAAAACAACTGTTCGGGCTCCCTTTCACGGACTGGCACGATCCAATTTGCCCACGGCCCAGCCCATTCAACTCCCTCCCCGCGACCGCGGACCAACGTCCTGGTGCCGTAGGTTCTTTGAGTTGTCCCGCTCCAAGCCTGATGAGGCCGGTTCCGCCCGATTAGTCCCTTGCCCCAGTCCCAGCCGGGTCAGGGAAAGACTGCCATGCCTGACTAGCAAGCCTAATTTTTGTCAGAAAAATTGCCCGTCCAGTCCGTCCAGTGGTCGAACGTCGAGAAATGACTGGGGTCGAGCGTCGAGAAAAAGAACTCGACCTGGACTACAAACGCTACAAATACAGTGGGGGACATGTCTTTTTCAGGTTTTCCGTCCAGGATTAGGCTCACGCAAAAACAGTCTGGTCAAGCTGAAGGAGCGGTAAGGTGAATTGGCACCAACTCCCAGTCCACGCGTCTCCGCCATATTCATGCAAATGTTGCCATAAACTTGTGTTGGCTGCAATTGCGGTGCATCCCAAGTGTGACCCCATCATCACATGTCTGCAGCCTTACTGCGCTCTATTCCGCCAAGTGCAGGTGCACATTTAGAAAGTCCAAGATGATATATATATATAAGCATGTTCCAACGAGTTAATGAGTGTGTGTGTGTGTGTGAAACCCTTGGAGCCACCGGAAATCCGTTGATTCTTCAGCAGGGGGGCAAGGCCTCCAGATGAACCTTGTCCAACGAAGCTAAAATAGCTGGAGGGGAAGCGGATGGAGACGTCCATTCGTGTGCCTGCTATGGTTGTGAGCGTTGTAACCACCTCCACTCGTAGAGGTTTCAGGCTGTTGCAGGATGATTCAGGTCTGCAGATCTGCACTCGGCGTCACTTCGTCGCGGTTTTTCGAGATTTGCCTTTTGAAATGATGAATTTGGTTGGATGCCACTCCATTTCCTCTTTCAGGCTATATTTACTTTATACTTTCTGGATTCTTAGGTTTATCACTTAGGCAGGCTTGTGGCAAACTGTGAGTCGAGTCAGTATGCAATTTCTCGAGTGTGCATGATGTGTGCGTGTTTTTGTGATTTAACCTGTTAAAAGTGTTAAAATGATGTTATATGCTACACTTGTCGCGCACAAAGGTCACGCCAAGTACAAGGAGAAACACGTTCCAATAGGCATACTTGAAGGGGCCTACAGCAACGATCTGATTGAGGTGAGTCCTCATGTTTTTCAGAGGTCCCCCACAGGCTCAAAGCGTGGCTTCAACAGTCGTGGTGAAGTACAGTAAATCTCCAGCATGGTAGTTACCCGGTTGCACGCAGGCGGATTCGCCTGGATTCTTTTCCTTCATCAGTATCGCCTACCATGCCGGTTAGCGTGGCAGCAGAAATAAGTGCTTGCCGCAGCTACCACAAATTGGAGTTTAGAGCTGAACTGTAGCAATGCGTGTTTCATGTTTCATAACAGCATAACAGCTTTCTCATTATTCTTCTGCTCCATGCTAGTTGAATAGCATCATATATCACCCAGGATTACATCATATACAACACCACACTTCGAACAAAAAAAGACATGTTCGCATTCGCCGCCGGTCTGCGCCGTCTCGAACCCGCAAGAATATCCCCAAATCTCGAAACATCAAACATCTTACCTGCCCAAACGCTCCGTTCACAGCTCTTGGTACCTCAAAACCCTAGGGATTTGAGACCCCAGACCCCTCCAAAGGATTCGGGACCCCAGCGTCTGGGTGGGTCAGAATCTCTGAACGGTTTCAACGGTGCCTCGACTAAGCCCTTGTTTCACCGAATCAAGACACGACCCCCTGGAGGCCCTGGCGACTCAGTCAGCCTGTTCCAGATCAACCCCCTGAGTGTGAAGAACCAGGACCAAGGCCTTGTTCAACCCCACTTCGAGGATAAACTCTTAGGACTACAGCGAAAGCCACTTCGATCAACGATCGTCATCCACCAACGGTCGCGCCAGCCCATGGAACCCATACCCATGGCCCACCGAAAGGACTCAGAGAGTCCACGATTCCTCTTGAAAGAATCAGTTCTAAACACCCCCCCTTCTCAGAATTCAGAATCAAAAAAAACAGTTCCAAAGCCTTGTAAACATGCAAGTCATTCATCTTCAACTGCCCCGACCCGACGCCTCCCTAAGCCTCCCTTAGAAGGAGACCCAGTCACACATCACCTGCCCTCTCCCCCCTGTGTCACCCCCTCCACCTCACCCCCTCCACCTCGAGCTCCTGGGCACTCCTTTGTCGACCCAAGGACAGCTGAGTCAATTGCAGCGCCTGCAGCTTGTCCTGACCGAGACATTCCGACACCGTCGGGGGCGTCAGCCGGACCATGGGGGCCATGGGGGCGGGGGCGGTTTTCACGGTCAATACATCGAGCGTGGTGGAAACACCATGCCGGTTGAACCAGTTTCAGCACTCGAAACTTGAACTGTCATGTGTCCTCCTTTCATCAGCCTCATCCATCTCATGCCTTTTAGATTCTAGATCCCAACATGTTCACCAGAATCTGTTTTCATTTGGTCCCTGCTGTTTCCAAGTGCCATGCACAGTTTAGTTGCATCAGCCTGTATGGTAGCTGGAAGGAATCAGGAATTAAGGAGCAAACGCGTCACGTCATGTATAAAACGAGTGAAAGGCTTCTGCGCATCAACATCGCATTTTGCACAGTCGTGAATAAATCCGTGCTCGGATGGTGTGCACATTCAGCTGAGGGAAAGCATAGCGACGCGAAACAAATAGCAACAAAGAAGTTCTAGAAGCACACATCCCCAGAACATGCATTGCAAAAATGCAAAAATGATCAAAAACGCAAACAAAATGCGTCGAATGAATTCAAATCCTTGAAGATTGCGCTGTTTCATCTCAGAGTTGCTTTTTCATTGGACAACAGGATGTTCACTCCGTCAAGAACATGGGAACCACTGCACATCGCAAGTATGTTGGAGGCCATCACTAGTAGGTTGGAGGCCATTAGACTAGTAGGTTGGAGGCCATTAGACTAGTAGGTTGGAGGCCATCACTAGTAGGTTGGAGGCCATTAGACTAGTAGGTTGGAGGCCATTAGACTAGTAGGTTGGAGGCCATTAAACTCGTAGGTTGGAGGCCATCACTGGCCATTAGACTAGTAGGTTGGAGGCCATCAGACTAGACTAGACTATTGAGGTCGCCCATTTCTTCCCCCCGACGTCCAAGTTCGCGGCGACGGTCGCTTCGAAGGAGTCCGTCGGCCAATCGAAGGAGTCCGCGGCCGTGGGAGACGAATCCAGCTTCCGCCTTTGCAAATGACAGGCCTCGGGTTCAGATCACTCCCGAAAACTGAGAATGGAACGCCGGAGTCCAACGATGTCAAACGTTTCTTTTTTGGGTATCGCTGCACCAGTGGTTGGATCGTTTTCCGGATTTGTTCGTGGATGGCCATGGGACTCAAAAGGTCTCAAAGAGGACCATGGCGGCTTGGAGCAGGTGCTGGACTTCACCTGTCCTGTTGACCAGGTTTTGGGGGACTCCCATGGTTTTACCTGCACCAGGCCAGCCGATGTGGGGATCCTGCTGGCCACAGGTTCCTGATTTCGTGCCCACCTTGCCTTTGTGGCCTGAAACATGAAAGGGCAGGCGTGTCTTTCCATCAAGTTTGCAACTGCCAAACCTTTTCATAGAGGCAATGATGTCACTACTCATGATATAATGTCTGTTCTAGAAACATATACAATGTCGGACATATATAGATTATATCATATCTAATAACTCTCTGCCAAGAAGCCACTGCCGTATTCAAGTGTTCCAGCGCTTCGCATGTTGGCCGTGCCGCTTGGAAAGTGACACAGCTTGCAACCATTGGTCGGTCCCTCAGCCAGCCACGTGCTGAACGTGGATCTTCCAACTCTTTCTTAGTCTATACACTACTGGTTGGTGTTTTCAACCTGCTTGAAAAACATGAGTCAGAGGATCCAATCATCCCCAAGTAAGGGTTGAAAATAAACATATCCGAAACCATCACCTAGACTATACCTATCAAGTCCTACGCGATGTTTCTTGCAGTTTGGTATAAGACCTTCGAACGTCCAACATGGTCGTGTGGGCAAAGAGCGGACGAGAGGTGGGTGGTTTCGGGTCAAAAACAACACTGGCTTGGGCGCATCCATATACTCCCATATGGTCCGACATGGCTGTGCCGCGAAAAATATGGGTAACGCTAGCTGACCACCGAAAATGAACAAATTCTGTGTTTTTTAAATAAGGATGTCAACCCATGGCTTGGTATGGTGGGAGAGGTTTTGACCCGCATCAGTATTTCTGAGACCAAAATAGGCCAAAAATGGCGGTATGCATACATTGCATGGGCAAACCTTGTGTCACACAGGCGCGGCCTTTGAGAGAGACGTCTTGCAACAGGTTCTACAAATCTTATAAGAGATGTTGACAACTGTTGACAATGGTTTGTTTGAGCATGATAATGATCCGGCACTTTGCACATTGCACATGAACTGGAACGTGTTCAAAAAACAAATGCTCTCTGATTGAGCAGGTAGTTCAGGTGCAAGGGCACCCTCCAACTCTGCTGCTCAACATTTCCCGCAAAATGCCTATACGGAGGCTCCGAATCCTTTTGAGACGAAGACCTGCCCCAAGGTGCAAAAGTGATGCTTCTGCACATCCGAGCAAACCACTTCAAGAAAATCTATGCAAAGTGCTTCGCAGGGAGTCAGAAGACCACTTGCGAGAGTGATTGGTTGGCACTTCAAATGGTGGTTGACATCAAACTCCACCTCTGTACACTTGCACCAAGTCATCAAATTATAGTTGAAAATGGTGCTCTCCCATAAGTTTGCGTCCTGCATGTCAAGCCCGTGCCATGCTTGCTTGCGAGTACAGCGCCTATGGCAAAAGGACAAAGGCATGCCCACAACATGCGACGGTTGGACCGTTCCACTTCCTCCTGCTGGGTTTTGCATGCTAAGCAAGCAGGAATGTTCTTGGTGACAGTCCTGTCTCTCTGGTCTCTCTTTTCGATGCTCCTGGCATGGGCTAGGCACAAAAGCTTGTTACATTTACGACATTTGGATCCGGCAATCTGCTCACAGTTCCCCTCTTGGCACTGTTTGGCATGTGGGGAGCGAGGGTCCATCGGCGCGCCCGGCTGCAGTTCCGGTGTCACCAATTCGTTTGGCAAAACACCTTCCAAACAGATGCGGTGCGGTGCTCACCATGTAGCCCTATCTCCTGGATGCAATGCTCATCCATGCGGCGCACATCTTCCACCGTCTCATAGCCGAACGAGAGGAACTTGGAGTACCATTCCTCCAAACCTGCGCTACGCAAGAGCTCTAAGAGCTCTGACTGCTCCACTTGCACCTTCTGGAACTCTTCCACTGGCCCATGCGCCTCAGCAAGAACCTGCTCTGTGTCTGCGATCGAGTTACCGGAGGATTGACCATCACGACAGGCCATCTCCGAAGGCCCCCGCTGCTTCGCAGCTCACCAAAGCTCCAAACACCGAATGTCTTGAGCCACGCGCTCCACCCATATACCCATCCAACACGAAACAGAACCATCCACGGGACAGGAATAGTCACATACATTCCATCATTCACTCACCCCATTTCCATTGACTCAGGTCAGTTTGACTTCATGTTCCTGGAATGTTTCGAAGAATCATACAAACACTAGTAACAAGAAGCTACGAATGGAACAAGGGCATCGCCGCATCGCTACGAGTCCCGTTCGCGATCGGACGCGACGAGTCCGGGGCGCTCCTGGCCATACTACTAACAATAAGCTCTACTCAGTTTCACTTGGACCCGGTTTCACTTGGGTCAAAACGTGGGAAGGCGACGCCGTCTACCGCGGGCGACGCGATACCTCGCTCGGTCGTTCTCACTCCTCGCCAAGAGGCCCTCGATACGTCTCAGAGCCGGAGGCGGGTTCTCCCAAGATACCACCTCGGGTCGGAACTGCAGTGTTTGAGAGGGGTCCGATATGTTAGAGCGTCGACAAACCAACCACTGAAAGTGTTTAAAGCCCGACTTTGAATCTTGTAATTCTATGGTTGCGACACGTTGTCCAAAAGACTGTGAGTGGCTTAAAGTTGTAATTTGATATAATCTGTGTTTTTGCTCTTTCAGCCCTGCAGGTGCTACGAAAGGAGCAACCCCACAAAAATGCATCCCTGCACAGGATCACACGTTGCTTCTTGGAACTTTCTACCTTCAAAAGTTGGTTCGAACACCAAAAGGACAACGGAACACGCAGCGGATGAATGCATGGCTTTCACCTTTTCGCCCTGTTCTCTCACCTGAGATCGCCTCGTTTGATGCCCCTCTGAAACTGGCTTTGGAGGCCGAACATGGCCGAACCAGGTGGGGTGGTGGTCGAGTTGGCTGGTAGCGAACTCTGCAAGAGCGAAAGAACTCTGGTAGCCATCGATCCAATCCAAAGGAACCCACTTCCTGGGTCTCCAAACCACCATGAATTTTAGCAGACTTGAACCGGATTTTATAGGATAGGATAATTCCGTCATCCTAATTGGCCCATAAATAGAATTAGCAAAGAAATGCAAAGAAGGAAGAGAAGGGAACATGCAGTGAGATGAAGCAAACGATGCCCACCGTTCTACCATCATAATCTGAAGGGTTTTCCTGATCCGTGGAGCGCTTGGGGGCAAGGGGCAAGGCTTCGCCAAACGTCGCCCCACCAACTAACATGGCAACATGGAGCGCAAACAGGGCCCTTGAGCGCTAGAGTGGTTTGCACCAGTATGGTTCGGCCTACGTTTTCTGGTCCATTCAGGGCTTTCGGGAGCTTTCAGGAGCTTTCGCACATCACATTTGGCATTTTTGGATGCCGGGTCCAAAACGGACCGACCGGTCGAATCAGGTCGGTAGCGCCGCGGGCTTCCGAGGAGGTCCGTGGCCCAACTCAGTGGAATCACGTAGTGCTCAAAGCAACAACCCGGTGCTTCGTGTCGGCGATGAAGGTGGGGAAGAGTCGTTCAAGTCCGGCTGAGCATGCTGGTTCAGGGCAGGCGTCCAAGAATTTGGGAATACGACTTGAGGGCAAATTGTTGTTCCATAGCAGAAGGCCCGCCCTCACCCAGTACATAGATCCAGCAACTATCGTCCACTTTTTTGAATGGGGAAGCTTTCGAGGGCTCAGCAGGGACCAAGCATTTTGGAACCGCTTCACCACAGTCTTGCCAAAGCCAGATGTGGCGAGATTGAATGCTACATGCTTTGTTGACCCCTCTTTGGTCCAGGTTAAGCTGGTTGGACCGATCATACCAAGTCTCTGGTCTTTCTGGAACTGCTCAAGGGCCGCACGGACACCTTCAACACTTCCGCAAAGATCGCCCAAGATCATCTCCCTGAGGCGTGGCTCCTCTTTGCTGTGCAGCTTCAAAATTAGATCGTGATCGACTTGCAAGTCTCGTGCAAGCAGCAGTTGCTGAAGAAAAAGGCCATTGTCAGCGCTACGCGCTTCAGCAAAGGACAAAGCCGTGAGCCGCAAGCTTGACGACGGTGGTGCTGCCTGCCTCAAGGCTGGCAGAAAGAACCGCAGGAATTTATGCTCTTCAGTCACTGTAAGAATCACATCCACCGTGCTCTTTCGTGTACTGTTGGGAGCGTTCTCGTCCATCGTCGCCTCCAAAATGGTTAGAACACACGCCTTTAGCCGCTTCCAAAGTCCCAGATTTGATAGCCTTGGTCATCAAAACTATGTAAGATTATATATGTATTAACGTATTGAATCAAATGGGTCAATCGGGAAAACCCTTGATAACCTCATTTTTTGGGGGATTCTGGTGCACAAACATCAAAAAAATCATCTTCCAAACCACCACCCAGTAGCTGGATGTAGATGCCAATCCTTAACCCCCTCTCGACCGGCTCGCGGGACTCCAGCAACATCCTCGACATGAGTGCCACACGTACCGCCGCGGTCTCGCCGGACCGCGTTTGCACGGCCAAGCGATCTTGGGTTCGAACGGAGTTCAGCTCACCTCGAAAGGACTCGTGCGACGACGCACCGCAGGGGGCAGGGCCGCACGGGTCACTTAACAAGAACTCGTTCTTCATGAACAGAATGACATGCGTGGCATGCGACATGCGTTTCGACCTCGTTTGATGGAAACTCATCGAATCGAGTTTCGATATAGTCTCCGGGCGAACGAATGTCAAAGAGGTCATATTGTAAATTGCTACCATATCAGGGTGGCGATGACTATGAAAGGCAGAACATCAGGTCGAGTCACGATCAGTCAAGTTGAGGATCTCTGCCAAGCTCTTCTCCAGCGTTTCTTGCGTCACTGTGCGCGGCAAGCGGACTGTGCGCGGCTCCCCAGCTTCGGATGTGTCCCACGTGTCACGCATGAGGACGGAGACACCCAAGGCTCGGGCGTACAGCGAGTCAAGTGCCAAAGCCGACCGTGTCAGGCTGATGTGAAGGTCCACTGCAGCCAAGTACTTCACAACTTCCCTTGGATCCTTTGAAAGAAAGTTGGCCTTTTCAGCCTTTCCTTCCCCAAAGACCATCACAAACCACGAAGATCCAAACTTCTCAGTCAACATCTTGCTGATGCCAGTGGAAAACACATCCACTTCCTCCTCTGGAATTGGACAGTCTAAAGCAATGCTTATCAAGAACACCTCGGGCTTCAAACCCTGCTCTTGCCTGAGTTCATTTCGCCTCACATCTCTCACATCTGCCGGTTCAAGCGTTGTTGGCATGAATGGGTGAAAGACTCGGTAGTTACCAAGCTTATCATGTGACCAATCTAATTGATCCTCCTGATTCAAAAACACCACCCAATCAGCCTTGGCCATACCTTCTCCTATCTGACTCCTCTCCGTTTGAGTCTGAGAAGTGAGGCCGCACATGTGTGGACGGTAGAAGTACCACACCAATTGAACACCTGGATGCTCTTGTGAAAGCTGAAGGAAGAATGGGATCCATGCACTGGAGAAGAAAATGATACAATGAGGAAGCTCGGCATCAAGCATCACATCCCACAAGTTGCTCTTCTGGCCTGTTAGGATCTTCTTCAGACGATGATTGACCCTTGCACCAAAGTCGTGTTTTGGATCCAAATTCTTCAATGCTTCTCCATCCACGGGGCTTTCCAACACCACCCGGTGATCCAGCAACGTCAACCCTGCAGCAAAGTCCAAAATAAAATTCGTGTCATCTCGAAGGTCAAAATCGTGGCTCCATAATAAGAAAAATGGCCGGTCCGACTGAGAGAAATGTGTCGGGTTCAGTGTCCAGTCCGCATCAGCCACACTGCTAGCCCCTGCGTCGGTGTCCGCTATGCGAGTCAGTTTCGCCATGCCGGTTCTGGTCATGGACCAGAAAATTCCAAGTGGAACGATGGCAAGCGTGATCAGCAAACACAAGAGCACCTGAAATCTAGAGCATCTTTGTGCTCCAGCCATCAGCCGATCTCGCTGTCGATGGCTTCCATCACCTTGCAGCCTTTGGCATTCGGGCAGCGGGCGGGCCGGGAGCCTCTTGTTTCGGACATCTGCCGAAACAGCAGGAACACATGCAAGCAATCTCTGGATCAGGATAGACAAACATCCCAAATCATTTACACATCAACACAATATGACTGACTACATGCATGTAAGAAATATACATCGAAACCCATAGAACCCCCGCACGTGAGCCTCGAGTCCTCTTGGAGCCAAACGGCGCTCCGTCAACTCGGCTTAATCGCGGTGCCAATGGCGCCGTGTGGCTCCGTGTGGCTCCGAATGACCGGTCGACCGGTCGCCGAGGCGCACGTGATCCTCAGGAGCCACCTTCTCCATGCCCTCTGAGGTGAGCGATAGCGAGCGGGGCAAACCATCCTCGGTGAGCGATAGCGAGTCGGCCGCCGAACACGGCGGCGAAAGCGCCGAGTCGGTGGTCCGACCGGAGGCTCCGGGGCGAAACACGTATATACAGAAAGAAAGGGCAGGTCGATGGCATCAGCCTAGGTCTGAGCTTACGCTGCAATCCCTAGCCATCAGCCTAGGTCTTACTAATGTCATCAGCCCCCCGTGCTGCTGTGCTGCAGCACCTTACGCTTTGCTGTTTTCTTTCGACCTCGGCTCTCGTGCCGAAGAAGCCTGCGTCACCCCCATGCGGGCGAAGTAGCAGGAAGGAGGAGGAACGTCGGTCGCTGCCCGGCTTGGACGTGAGCTTGAAGTTGTCTGTCAGCGCGAGAAGGGCACCAGGAGATGTGAGGATGGAGGTGAGGGGATCCCTTGGATGGGCAAATGTAGGGCGCTGAATTGCATCAGTGGTGTTGTTGGGGTGAGAACAGCAAATCACTCCATCAGCAAATCTAAAGAATTATGACTGATATAAATATGTGTAATAATGTGTAATATATATATATAGAGAGAGAGAATCTGATTATCTGATTCGTCAAAACTTAGGGTTCGCCAGTCAGAATTGGAACTGGGCCACCCCAGAATCCTACTGACTTGAGCACAGCAGTTTCCAGAGTAGACTACACAAGCCGGTATACGTACCATTTCAATAATAAAGTTTCACTCAGTCACCAGTAAGTTCAAATCTCCGTGGCACTCAAGCAACACGTCCCTCGTCCACATGAATTGTGTCATATTCTGTACACTTATCAGATGATAAACCCAAATGTTGAAAATCGGACCAAGCACGGCCATCTCTGTCCCCATGACGACTTGATCGATCAAACTGACCTTGACATACCTCTCTGTCCTTCATGTTCCGCGTCCGCGGGACTCGGCGCCTCGCGGCATCTCCCGCGGATGGTTGGAGCGGGCCGTTCCAAAGGCCTTGGGAAGAACGGCTGCTCGGCTGCTCGGCTAGGGTTGTTCGAGTCCAGTCATGAAAAGGTCGAAAGAACACGACAAGGACCACATGACACGGAAAAGACTCTATATCTTTTCGATTGTCTGGTCATCTCCAGTTCACCAAGGTCCGCAATGCACAAGGTTTCCTGACTTCATGCAAGAAGGATTCCAGTCCCTCAATAAAGGTGGCGGAGGTCCCAAAATCCCGTAGGAACCCCCTTTTCGCATGTCCAGCTCAGGGGGAGAATGTCCCACTCGGGCCGAACGGGTTTTCTTTGAGGATGGCCATTGGTGAGAAATTGGTGCTTGAGGATAGTCGTCAGTCAGCGAACCTCAAACGACCGTGTGAAAAGAACGCATCAGAGCTGCCACACAGGCGCAGCATGCTGCGCCCCCGCCCTTCTTCGCAACTGGTGCATGGTCGACATGTTTCGCATGGCGGTGTTGGTTTGTTCGGCTGAGGTCTTAGCGGCTGCATTTGCTATGTCAGCAAACACTTCAGGAACTTATGACATACTTAACACAAAAGGATACACTCCGACTCACTAACATGGAAGTGGAAAACCACCTGTTTCCAACGGAAAGTGTAGTCTTCCAATGCAAACCTCAAGGTTTCCGAGGTATGTCTCTGTCCACCTTTTGCCATGCTCTTCCGACCTAATATGCAAACGCGTGGTTCTTCGCCCCTGACGACGTCTGGGCCCCAAACGGACGGTGGGCTCAAATGACCCGTTGAGGCCTCGGACGTCGGTACTGAAGGGAGGCCCCCGCATTTGGGCGTTCCAACGCTCGAATCGGCCTGTGTTGCACTTGAAAAACCGAGTCTCAATCAGTATCACATATAAATCATGATTGCTACTTGATATGAATTTGTTAGATAGGAGTTAGTATCAAATTATGAACAAGCAAAACTCGCCAAGAGCGTTTTTTGTCAGGAACAACCAGCATGTCACAACTCTTGGAACATCTACTGGCCCACGATGAACCCTGCAAGAGCTGCTATTCTTCCACCCATGCTGGCCCACATGTTACTTGGTGTGTTCTTTAGCCTGAGCCTTTGTGACACTCCAAAGTGGTCAGGTAACGAACACGTTCACGTCGTCACTTCGGCGCGACGACAGATGAAGCCACACATGAATTCTTTCTAGCAGTCAGAAGGAACACGAAGTGCAACCCATAGTTTGCTCTATCATGCTCTATCTGTTACACTTCTTTTATATATCTGTACTTTCTCTCACTGCCCTGTGAAAGGACGCCAAAAGGATGCCAAAAGGGGTCACCAGTTCGAACCGAATTGCTCTGAAAGCAGATGATGAGTCGAGCTGAATATTCTATTGCTATCACAGTATATATTTAATTTGTAACTTGTACTTTGTTGATATGGACCCCCGAGGAAGAACAAATTTCTACTGTTTGATGGCCTTGATAATTTACATATCAATGTTTTTAACTATAACTATACTTGTTCCTTTTATTCTTACGCGCATGGAGGATGACCAATGGTACCAAAGTGGAATTGTGTAAAGAGCGGATGGTCCGATTGGTCTCTGAGCTGCAACTAGGTGCGTCACGAAAAGCGACGGGTCTCTCAGCCAAGGATCTGCTTCCTGCTGGGCTCCTGACATGACGAAGCGCAAATGGGCTTCAACGGCACGACCGGCGCGTGGTTTGGGCTCTTTCTGCGTTTTCGGTCTTGGTGCATCCTCGGAAGGCGCGGGAGCTCTGCCGTGGCACTCGAAGGGAGGTCGGAGTCTTCGCCACCTGAGAACCAGATCCGACCCCTAAAGGCACGGCATCGGATGGAGTGCGGGTGGAGGGGGCGTAGCGGTGAGAAGAGGGTTCACCATGGTTCCACACGAGGATATAGTTCCATGTATATAGTTGGCTGCTGGATGATGGCAGGAGTCATGACGAATTGGACACCTGCTAGTAGCATCCTGCAGCTAGAATAGCTGTGCAATGCTGTGCCCTGGTCCAAGCTCCAGCTGACACTGTGACGAGATGTATGTACTGAGCATGTCATGCTCCACTGCGGGCCTCTCGTTGGATACGAGGCATCAATCCCATTCCTCAGAGCCACCTGGCTTTGACACCCTTTCCCAGCAGTGACGCAGATGACCACTGCAACACCAAACACTCCCACAACTACCCAAAAAGGGAGAGATCCATGATGAACACCCCCAGGTATATTACAGGACTCCGTCAATTGCCCTTTGTTATAGCTTTCAGCCCACACCCATTCAAGCAAATGGTGCATGCTCGGCCATCCAAGTCGGTTTGTCTGCTGAGCAGTTGCCAGACTATGACTACGCCACCTGCTACCTCGTCATTTAAAATACATTGCATATGCACTCGAGGCACCTCATGATTTACAGTAGAAACATGTACATGTAGACAGAACATGTTCCTCATGTTCCATGTTACCTCATGCGCTGCAAATGTATAAGTATACAGTATATCTATGTATATCTTACTATGTCTGGACCTGGTAAGTGTCCCCGCAGGCTCTACTCCTGGTGGCGCCCTTCCATCAATTCCTTTGAGTTTCAGCCTTGCGATCTACATGTTCCCCACTGAAAAGCCACTGGAGTCGTTCTTCTGCCCAATCATGGCAAATGTCTCTCCAGCAACTGGCATCATCCGATCTGGAGGATGATGCCATGTCGCTTGCCGTTCTTTCTTGCAAACGACTTAGCAGTTGCAAATGCCACGTCGGTTGGCCACCTTGCCAAGGACTGGTGCCAGAACCTTCACTTCCACTGATGAACCATCCAATCTAAGAGGCCTGACTGACGGTCGGGGTGACGGTCGGGGTGACGTGCGGTCGGACGCCTCGGCAGAGGCGCCCTGAGACCTCGAGGATCGACCTCTGACTACCCGGGGCGACTGCTCCCAGCGGAAGTCTGCCAGTCTGAGCGAGGCTTGGGAAGTGAAGATCCGACCGTGGGTGGTGCGTCGATGTCATCAGGCGGCGGAGACAGGCATGAGCTGACAGAAGCGGAAGAAATACGCAGGTGAAAGACTTAAACAAAAGAATCGCCCTGTCTGCCAAGCTGGCAGACATTGCCCCCTTAAATGGAGCATATCTTTGGCACTTTGTCAGCTTCGGTTGAGCGACATAATTCACATCCATCAATCAGAATCCAAATCCGTGGATACCAAAATGATCCTCTTTTAAGGGGGCGAGGGTCGTTTCCTCTGCGGAGTGCATTCCGGAAAGTGGAGAAGTTTGAATCCCTACGACCCGACCGCTCTCTGGGGCTCCAAGCAAGATCTCGTCCCGTTGGCTTCGCCTTTCCGCCTGGTGAGCCATGGATTTTGCGCACGATATCAGGTGTACGATATCGTACGATGTATGGCGATCGTAGCCACCGATTCCGCCCCAAGGCATCCAAATGGATTCGTTGGATTCACGGGAATGGTGTCGATCCGGTGAATGAACATGAGGGAAGACCGGCAAGCTCCAAGAAACCAACACCTTTTTCAATCGCGCATGTGGCCAAAGATCTAAATATGCCCACAAACTGGACATCTTGTGTGGCATTTGCATGCATTTGCGAAGAAGGACGGAGAAGAACACAAGGGATTGAGTGAGGGAGGTAGATTCAGGATGAGTCAGGTAATGTAATTAAGTAAGAACTGGATAGGAGAAAGCATGAGAAAGCACGCTAAGACGCTAAGCCTTTCCAAGCCCTGGAAGGGCTTGGGCTCCAAGTTCTTGAACATAAAGGAAAGTTAAGTAACAAGGCCGCACCGAAGGGGGGGTCGTCTTCACTGTCTTCAAACAAGGAAACTGGGAAAATCACAAGCCTTTGACAAGCGTTCGTGGGTCCAGTCTGGTGCAATTGGTCAAGGCTGCTAATCACGATTGAATTCAGAATTCATGCGAATTCCCGGCGAGCATCTCTGAACAATTCCGAAAATCAATCATGTTCAAGATTCTCCAAGTCTCTCCCCTAATGTTGACCCCCGAAACCACACGTGATGTGCTCTGGGAAACACCCGCTCTCTTCTCCCTATGGTTGTTTTCCCTTTCTTTTTGGGGGTCCATTTTTGGAAGAGGCCAGGTGTTCGGAAGGTACCTTAAGCATCTTGAACCTCCTCCACTATGGCCGTGGGTCCAAACCGGAGAACCCTGGGCCAAGACCCGAGTGCCACCCACAGCCACCGCGGCACGATCACCGGTCTCCCACAGCCGCCACCGGTCGCTGGCGCGCCCGGCAGCACGGGGGCCTGGTGCTCTGGAGGGCTGTGCCCTGACCACCGGAGGTCTTGGAAGTGCTGGGACCTGGCGGACGCGGAGACGGGACCGCCAGGCACAGGTGTTGGACCTCAGCAAGTTAGACATGGTGGGTGCCAAGTTAGATGTTGGATTTCTTCATGGATATGTGATATGTTCAATACATTTCAATTGGCACATCCCCCTTGAATGAGAAGCTGGCTGTGGATGTTCATTTTGTAAAACAGGTGCTATAAAATGTATAACCACATAAAATTCCCTATAGAATGTTAAACAGCTGGAATTATAAAATGTAAAGACGCCACATGACGCCACAAGTCAACCGATGCATGGCACAGCCTGCTGCTTATAGAATGTATTGACCTCATCCGAAAAAATAGATTACTAAGGACATTTCTTTGCATAAAATGCATTGACCCTCTCCGCGAACCTCTCAAAAAGCCTCTGGGACATTTCATTTCCTTTGTTAAGATTCGTGAAGGTGACCCAGAACTACAGTAATTGAATTTTCTTTTGAATGAGCGTTCTTGAGTTCTAAAATCGGTGGCCTCACACACATGTCACAAAACTTGTGCAACAAAATCCACAAAATATGTTCACAAATTTTAGTTAAAAGGGACTCCAAACTTCAAGGATTAAACAGGACGTGAAGGAATTGGGCCAGCAAACTGTCCAAAAATCAGAGATGGATGGATTTCAGGAAAACATGAAAAACACAAAACACATCCATTAAACAGGGAACCAGGCTTAACCATTAAACATATTAAACTCATTAAACATGACATAGCTTAACAGGGAACCCGGCGAAATGCTCCGGTCTGGGGGCTCCGGGGAACCACGGCGCAGCTCGATCCCGGCCCACAACGGGGGACCGGTGTGTTTCCGGTTAAGGGAATGGGGAAGAGACAGGGGAAAAGAAAGAGTGCAACACACATAAGCTATTCAATGTCTAACTTCTTAAATCTTGTGCTGGCAAAGCTTGGAAATAGAATCCGCATGAATCCGCCAAAAAGCTTGTTAGGTTCTTATTTTGAAGGTTCTCATTTTAGATATTTTGTTGGTCAGATTTCTTCATTTCATGTCTTTTTCATAGTTCGAAAGATTGGCCAGCACCTCTGTCCGTGATTTGCTTCCACTTTGTTATTTCTTTCAATTCCTTCAACTCATGTCCTTTCCTTTACTTTTCTGGCCTGATTTCATCACCTAAAACAGAATGTTTTCTCTCGTCTGTTTGCCAGACTCCACTTGTCAAGGTTTGTGCTTTTAACATTTTATATATCACTACAGGGTTCGAAACCATCGACAGGGTGAGGGCCTGTGTTGTTTATAAAATGTGTTGAACCGCAAAATAAGCAATCGAAAGCTTGTGTCTGCTTCAGAAATTGTTGCTTTACAAAATGTATTGATCCCCTGAAATTTGATCGATAGCTTGAGGAACAGACCTTATATAAAACATCGTTCTCCAAAACTGGTGTTTTATGATTGCCCGTCATTGTGGGCCTATAAGATGTGTATTGTGGGAAGACATTTGGTACGGGAATGACATCGGCATTTTATAGTGTCTGAATGAACCTCGACGGTCGAATTGGCCCTCGAACGGCGTTCTCACCGGGCATTCCAGATGCTGCCAGGCCTGCACTTTGCCGCTCTGAAAGAAAAACACTCTTCACATTAAACATGGCTTGCCATCTGCTAGACAGATTTGGAAGGTCACATTAGGCTCCATCAGTGCCCCCCAAAACATGGCAAGGCAAGTCTCTGACACCATGTGGGTTCGGCCGCCCAAAGCCGCGAGAGCGTAAGTGTCAAAAATTTGCTTACTGTATGATGCCAAAGGCCCCTTATGGCACACACATTTTGCACTGACCACCCCAGGTAGATCGATCTTCAAACCAGTGAATCCATGCTCTCTCTCTATATATATATATATATCGATCTGTACAAATCTATATATTACTGTAACACTTACTGTAATATAGTTTTCATTAGTTTTCTTATCACTTGGACAGGTTCTTCCCTGTCCAGCCTCTCAAAAAACCACTATCCACCCCCACCGGGCGGCCCTTCGGCAGCAACGCCCCTCGACCGGTCAAGGCACCAAGACCGCCGTCGCAGTGGCGACGCCGAGTAAAAGCCTGAGCAAACACCCGAAGGTGGACTTGCGTGACGTGTCGTGATCAGCGCCCTGAGCCCCAAAAGCCAATTGATGCGAGCTGAAGAGCCAAAGCCAAACAAACCATTCGAAGTAGAATATCTGACCAACTGACAGGGTTTGGTGATGTTTTCTTGTATCCTAGGTCTTAGGTCGTGCAGGATGTATTCCGTCAACGATCAACTGTAGTGTTCGCACATGTTCGCACATGCCAAGCAACAACATCTACTACACTGCCTTATAATTCCATATTTATCTGCCTATCTATATATTTATTATTTATTATTTAAAATTTATGTGATATCAGGTTTGATTCGATGATGTTTAATGTACCATTCTTTCTCCCTGTTTCGACTCACCTCCCTCCGGACCTCCCATCTCAGCCTCTCAGTCCCTCGCTGCGATCCATGGGAGATCTCCACGCGCAAACCGAACGCGGCGTTCAAGCCCATGACCTCGCTCACCGCCGACTGCGACCCCAGAGCGACTGCGACAGCGACCGACGACCGAGGACGGCGCAAGCGAGCGATCAGCGGAGTGAGATAAGCGATCAAGCCAAGCCAGGCAGTTGAGCCGATACCACGCAGCCGGGCACCCCAATTCGGAAGGGGAGCCATGTGGCGAATAACTTGGAGGACGCTACTAGTAGCAAAGGGCATCGCTACTAGGGGCTCCTGGCCTTACTACTAGGAGCAAGTAGCTATTAATTAGAAACAATGACAATAAATATAAAATAATATAAATTGATTTGCCCGCACTAGAGAGGTTTGTCAGGGGGTCAATGTAGGTCAATAGCAGGTGGTAGGGCCTGGAATGAGTATGGCCCTTCAAGGATGAAGGATGACCTTTTTCAATCCGAAAGCCAAACCGGTGGTGAACTCACTCAGCTTCCATTGATTACTCCCAAGGAGTGGTTTTTTGCGCGATTTCAAAAAAATGAACCTGTCAGCCATGCCTCTCCGTGCCGAACCTGGGGAGCTGGCGCGCATCTTGTGAACGAGCCTGGGCACGCATCTCAGGCCAGCGCCGGGACCAAAGGCTGAAGGGGAACACCCGCGTGTTTCTCCACGCATTCATGGGACAAGCATGTTCTGTTTGGAGAGGGGTGGTCTTAAAATGGTGTTTCTTCAAATTAACAGTTGAAACATGAACAAACTTGCCTCATATACATGCTCTTCAACCACTTCTTGAACCCTTTCCTCTCAATATTGATTTCTACAATTTCTACCAAAAAAAACAATGGGTTACATAATGGGTCGTGATTTTATGTGATGTTGCTAATTTTTGGAATAAATCATCTGTATCCAGCCCTTTGGTGGCTCGCCACAGGACCACAGGATAAAATCCAGGCAGCCAAAGCAAACAGTGTGGCCCTCATTGATTCGATTGATTTCTCATGCACTTGTACGCACTATTGAAATCTATTGAACACGAAGTAATGCCGCGTGTACCTTGCTGAGTGGACATGACAAATGCACAGGGCATATGACGACAGTTGCTAGGCATTCCTTGCATTTGCACAGGAGATAATGCCACGTCAATGTACATCATGGGAAACCAATAACGTCCACGTAGATGGGGACCTCGTTCCCGAGGGGGACCTGTGTGGGTCATGGGTCCTCCCAGTTCGGTCGCGTGGACCTGTCGATATGAATGGCCTGTTCAACAAGACGGGTGCCATGCACTTCCCTGTGACACAGGTTCGGAGTGAGCATCGCAGTCCAGCAACTGCTTGTGGAGTTCCAGCTCCAGGTATGGTAGGGCTTCTGACAAGTCCTGGCACCAAGCCAATAATGCAAGATGATGATCAAGAATGCACATGCCTAAGAACCTCACAACTAACGTGGCAACGGGATACCAACCTATGCCATGTTTTGGGCTGAGAGTTAGATAATTAACAACAATCTTAAGTGAGCGACCTCCCTGCGACCTCACTCATGCCATGCCAAGTGAGCTCGCTTGGTTTTGCGCTAACAAATAAAGATGCCAAAGTGATATCAACCTCGATGCCCCCTAAGCGCCACGGCTGGAGCTCTTTGTGCCCGACGAATATCCGGTCCGAATTCAACGAGGAGTGAAAACCACCTGTTTGGCATTCGGAATGTTCTCATCCAAGGAGCCGTGCCATCCACGTTGGCCCGTGATTTTCTTCAGGGAGTGTCAACAAACCAACTACCCAACTCTAAAAATACAGAGTGACTCCAGCAGGTCAATATCATTTCATTCTCTCCCAATATTATTTTTCCCCCCCCTGCCGCGCTCATCCCCCCAGCCACCACGGGGGCCCCTCCGTGCCTGCGCATGGGCCTCACCAGCCATCTTGCGCTTGAGACGGACCACCCGGGCCTCGACGAGCTCACTTCGCCCGACGATGGGCAACCCTTCCGGAAAATCCATGGTCGCCTGGGAGGTCGACGGAGGTCGCAGTGAAGGTCGACCGTCCATTGGTGCGTACATCACTTGTGCTACTTGTATTGCACAGCATTCATATATATATATATATATACATCATCAATAATATTGTAATTGAAGATTGTACTTAAATATGGCCTGCAAGATATAACCTGTAACAGCATGTAACAACTATGCAACAACTGTATATATATATATATAACGGTAAAACTTTGTGATTATCTGTGGCTGCTGTATCTCCCATTGGCTGTGAAGGTTGGGAAATGTACAGTCTTATGTCATTCTTGGGAGGCTTCAGAACTGGACCCTCCACCCACATTGTGTATATAGACCCACAAAAAAAATAGAAAACGACATCCTCACTCAAAAGGTAGTGGTAACCGTACCACTCTCTATTCGAGAACCACTAGAGGTTGCTTCAAATCACCTCCTGCACCGAACTCCTGGCGTCGCAGCGCAACAAAAAAACACACTGGATGTCCGTGCCTCCCTAGGCTCCACTATTCTTTCCATCCCCCCAAAACGCTCGGAGCATCAGCTCCCCCCCATCCCGCCCCATCCGTCCACACTCCCGTCCACGCTTCCGGTCCCGTGGCTCCGTGACTCCGAGCCAAGAGAATGTTGGGCACCATGCCTTCGCCACACCTGGAAGAATTTTTGGAGGAGCAAGGACGCTACTAGGGGCTCCTGGTGTAAGTACTAGGAACAAAAAACTACTAGTGGCTCCGGGCTGGCTCTACTACTAGGAGCAAGAAGCTACCAGGGGCTCCTGGCTTAGGAACAAGAAGCTACTAGGGCCTCCTGGCCTAGGAACAGGAAGCTACTAGGGGCTCCTGGCTTTACCTGGCTCTACTACTAGAAGCAAGAAGCTACTAGGGGCCCCTGGCCTTAGTACTAGGAACAAGAAGCTAGTAGGGGCTACTGGCCTTACTACTAGGAACAAGAAGCTACTAGGAGCTCCTGGCCTAGGAGCAAGAAGCGACCAAAGGCTCCTGGCCTTACTACTAGGAGCAAGACGCTACTAGGGGCCCCAGGCCCTACTACCAGGAGCAAGAAGCTGCTAGGGTCCCGTGGCCCCACTACAAGGAACAAGAACCTACTAGGGGCTCCTGGCTTTACCACAAGGAGCCAGAAGCTACTAGGGGCTCCTGGCCTTGCTATTAGGAGCAAGAAGCTAGTAGGGGCTACTGCCCCGGCTGCTAAGAGCAAGAAGCTAGTAGGGGCTCCTGGCCTTGCTACTAGGCCTTGCTACTAGGAGCAAGAAGCTACTAGGGGCCAGTAGGGGCTCGTGGCCTTGCTACTAGGAGCAAGAAGCTAGTCGGGGCTCCTGGCCTTGCTACTAGGAGACTAGGGCTACTAGCAGCTCCTGGCCTTGCTACTAGGAGCAAGAAGCTAGTAGGGGCTGCTGGCCTTGCTACTGGCCTTGCTACTAGGAGCAAGAAGCTACTAGAAGTCCTGGCCTTGTTAGTAGGGGCTCCTGGCCTTGCTACTAGGAGCAAGAAGCTACTAGGG